CCCCCCCCCCCCTCGGCACCTGGTGTTGGAGCGGTATTCCTTCGTAATTGCCCACGGGCCCAGCACATTCCCCGAAAAACGCATCGCCCTCCCCCTCGCATGCTCTCGCGGCCGGCCGCTTGTCATGCACTTGGAGGCACCTCCGGAACGCGCGCAACCGCCCCTCAGGCCAGCGCCTCCATCCACCCCGGCGGTTGTGTCCAAAGCACCCCCCCCCCCCACTGGGCGCCACCGCACACCAAGGGGCCGGAGGAACAACAGCGGCCCGCGGAATTCCCACCCCGGCCAGCAACGCGCCCAAGGCACGGAGCCCATGCCGTGCCAGTCCGCGGGCTCCCCCGGCAGGGGCAAGCCCCGCCGGTCCGTCCACAACCTTCGCCGGCCACGCGCGTGCACACCTCCACCCACGCACGCCGAGTCCCCCCGGCCCTGGCAAGAGTGCCTCCCTGCGCGGACGCTAGCTGCCCGGGTGCGGCGGGCGCGTTGTGCGGCCCCGCCGCGCGTCCTGCCAGGATCTAAACACACCGCACACAAACCCCCCTCCCGCCCCTGCCCCGGAGAGGTTAAGGGCAGGCTGTATTTGGGAGCGCGCCGCCCGGGACCCAGGGAGAACGGGGCACGCAGGGGCAGGCGCGCCCGCCGAGAGCGCTTGGGACGGAGGGGGGGGGGCACAGGCATGGCGGACGCCGGCCCGCCGGGCTGGCCGGCTGGGGCTCGCCGCAGAGTAAGCAAAAGCGCCGAACGCCGTCGTAACTCCCCCGCCCCGCGTCCGGCATTGAGCAAATTCCGGCGCCATCAGCCCCAATGGCCGGACATCCGCGTGATCCGCTCCGCGACCGCATGATTGGGAGCGTGATCATGGCCTGGAATCCTCCGTCGGCTTGTGGCGCGGCCCCCGGCCGAGAGGAGGGCTCTGATGGGCATTTTCGGCCCAGGCCGGCGTGGGACACGAGAAATAAAACCCCGGGCACGCGCCGGCAAGGTCGCTGCCCGCGCTTCTCTCTCTCTCTCTCTCTCTCTCTCTCTCTCTCTCTCTCTCTCTCTCTCTCTCTCTCTCTCTCTCTCTCTCCCCCAGCAACGCCCGGAGAACGCCGCTGGCTATTTGGCTGTGCTGCAGGCCCCCCCCCCCCCCCCATGCGCACACCCCGGGGGGCGCACGCACATCACCAAATTCCGAGGGAAAGGCCGCAAGCACAAGCATAGGGGAGGGGGCAAAGATTTTGCGGGATATATTTGGAGGACAGGGCGCATGGGTGTGCTTCCGTGCGGACATCCGAGGGTGTGGATGGGCACACGCGGCTATGTGTGAGGGGGAGGGGGGGGGGGGAGAACAGGAGTAGGGAACGGGGGCAGCAAAGAGACACCTACGCGTAGTTATGCGGGGATAAAAAGACGAGGTCAAGGACAGGAGGAACGGAGGGACGGAAGGGGGAGGGAGACAAGATGCCGTTGGCTGCGTGCATGGCCTCCTCCCAAGGGTGCACAGCTTCGCACAAGCGGTATATGGAAATCGGCGCGGAGACACGAGCACACACGCGCACACGCACGCCCGGGCACTGGCAACAGGATGCAATGCAGTGCCAAGTGTACGTGCAAGCACCCCAGGCCAATGCCACCGAGGCATCCCATCGTGCATGGGCGCCGACGGGGTGGGTGGGAGGGAGGGGGGGGGGGAGGGACCGAGGGGGCGCACGAGGGCAACGGCCTTAGCTCCTCTCCCTCCCTCTCTGGAGGCGAGAAACTCGTATGCCGCCAGACGTGACACATACAAGGAGTATATGTGTATGCGTGCGTGCGTGCGTGCGTGCGTGCGTGCGTGCGTGCGTGCGTGCGTGCGTGCGTGCGTGCGTGCGTGCGTGCGTGCGTGCGTGCGTGCGCGCCAGGGCAGATGGGTGTGCGTTGGCGGGCCTGCCGTGTGGTGGTGCACATGTATGCGCGCGTGCGGCAATCTCTTCGGGAGGAGGGGAGGGGAGAGGGGAGGGGGAGAGAGAGAGAAAGGAAGGCGCAATGGCGCGAGAAGGACACAAGAGAGGGTCGCGCGCACGCGCATACATGCACGCCATTAAACAAGGATGCACAGCTTGCCGGAGGAGCCCCCGGAGGAGGACCCCTTATCGCCGGACTGGCCGCGCCGGCCACGGCGCCTCCCACCGCCGGACGATGAGGACTTGGACCCGCTGGCCGAAAGGTCCCCCTGCGCACCGGCCGACGCCGACCCCGCGGCGGAGGACTGCGCCAGGTCGGCAGCCTGCTCTGGCGACGGCGGGGCATTTGATACCGCGCGGAACTTTCGCAGCTCGGTGATGAGCGCATGGAAGGCGGCCTCCACGCCATGGGAAGTCTGCCGAGACACGGTGGACAGAGGGAGCAGGGAGAGGGAGGGAGCAGGGAGAAGGAGCAGGGGGCAGGGAGAAGGGAGCAGGGAGAAGGGAGCAGGGAGAAGGAGAGGGAGAAGGAGAGGGAGAGGCCGAGGCATAGGCAGAGGGAGAGGAATAGCAGCGTTAGCGGTGACTGCACTTGTGGGAGGAGAAGTTGATGCATAAGTGGGCTCCGTCCCGAAAAAGGGGGCAAGCAAACCGAGCGACATGCGGGGAGGGATCACAGAGGCGGACCTTTGCCGACGTCTCGAAGAAAGGAATGCCGAGCTCGGTGGCGTATGCGCTCGCGTCGCGGGTGCTCACCTGGCGATCGGCCTCAAGGTCCTGTGTGGGCATGAGACAGGAGGGAGGAAGGGGTGTGCATGTGTGGATGGATGGGCAGGTGCAATGTCAGAAGGGGGTGTCTCATGGAGGGTGTGAGGGGCCGGGGGGGGGGGGGGGGGGGGGGGGGGGGGGGGGGGGGGGGGGGGGGGGGGGGGGGGGGGGGGGGGGGGGGGATGATGACACCTCACCACCCCCGGGCCGACAAAGGGCGGAGAGGCCGGATGTCAGGGGGGGAGGGAGAGAAGCCCGCGGGCAACGCACAATCTTGTTGCCCACCAAAACCACCGGCGTGGCCACGGTCTGGTGCTCGTTGACCCGCTCGATGGCCTCCTTCAGGGCCTTGGCCTCATCGAAGGAGGTGGCATCGCAGATGGAGTATACCAAGAGGAACCCCTCGGCATGGCGGAGCTGGTGGTCCCGCAGCGAGGTGTACTCCTGCTGCCCGGCCGTGTCGGTGATGTTGACCACGCACTCGTAGCCGGATGGGAGCATGACACGCTTGCGGAAGTTTTCCTCTGTGCGTGTGTGCGTGTGCGAGTGGATGCATGGCGGCGATGGTAAGCGGCATCATCGAGGCAGGAGCGTGAGACAAGCGACGAAGGGGGAGAGGTGCGGGAGGTCATGGCTCAAGGGCCGGCAAAGGGAGAGCGGGGGCGAGGACCAAAGGCACAGCG